ATGAATCCACCTGTTCTAGACATTTTACATAAAAGAAATCTCTAATACAAATCTCTTTTATAAATAAAAGCACCAATAACAGAGGCATGTATTCCCCAAGGAAGCCCAAGTTTATTTGAAAAGACCCTCCACCTAACCCCCCCCCCAACACAAAGCAGTCAGATCTGACTTCTACCCTATGAATCCACCTGTTCTAGACATTTTACATAAAAGAAATCTCTAATACAAATCTCTTTTATAAATAAAAGCACCAATAACAGAGGCATGTATTCCAAGGTCACACCTGAGCTGCTGTGCTTTGTCCCTTTTAATTCAAATAACACAGTATTCATGGTATGAGTAGACCACTTCTCAGCTTGGGTTGCTTCCATTCTTTTAACTATTTTTGAATAATGCTGTTTTGAACATCAGTGTGAAAGCTTATGTATAAACATTATTTTCTTTTGGGTATATCACCAGGGTGAAACAGAAAATGTCATAATTCTCTAAGTCCTTAAGGAAACACCAAAATGTTTTCCACAGTGGCTATACTAGCTTATAGGCCCATCAGCAACATTCGAGGGCTCCAATTTCTCTACTTCCGTGCCAACTCTTACTATTATCTTTTTTTTAATACGCTCTGCCTAGTGGGTGTGAAATAATATCTTACTGTGTATTTGGCTTGCATTTCTCTAATGACTAATGATGTATGCCACAAAACTGTCTTTTACACACAGCTGAAATGTTCTAGATAACAGGATTCATGGGTGGGGAAGTTTCTGTTCAATAGAGTCATTAAATGAGTCATGTGATGGTTATTGATGCGATGCCATTCTGAGCAGCAAGCCCCACCCCGCCCCCATCTGCCATCTCTGCCCAGTCTGAGCTTCTGCTGCACACTGTCACGGCGGTTAACGGCTGGTTCTAGGGCCTGTTCTCCAGCCCCAGAACTCAATACCAAATTGGAAGCCTCCCACTCTTCAGATTCACTTCCTTTTCCTTTGTAGTGATTGGGAAACGTTTCAAAGGTTGATTTTGATGGTAATACTGGATTTCTATTAACAAAGTTCAAATAAATGTGCGCAGAAAGCAGGAAATCTCCTTTGAAGGCGCTTAAAGGCTGGGTTTGAGGATTCTGAAATTGGTCACTCTCCCACATGTTGATCTCGAGCTCAGACGGGTGTGTCCAGCTCCACTGGGGTGAAGACCACCTTCTGCATTGTGAGAACAAAGAGCGCTCAAGACCCATTGGCCTTCATCTTGCAGGGTCCTGGGTGCCGAGCATAAAGACTGAGGACGGGAGGTGGTTCACCCCCAGGGCATTTGAAATCAGAGGAGGCTACGCCAGGTCAAAGAACTGGAAGATGAGTGTGCGCTGTGGCGGGAAGACCCTGCAAAGGCTGATGGAGGTATGATGGTGACAGGCAGTGACTGTCCTTGCTTGATGCCAAGGGATAGGTCACCACCTGCTTACTGCATATTTGTTGAGTTATTGTTCAGGCCCCGAGTTGGTCCTGACAGCTAGGAGAAACGTGTCCACATTCATAGCCTCAGTGCAGTGCAGCACACCCATGTGGTAAACAGGGCTCCATCAGGTACATGCAGGGGTGAAGGAGGGAGAGTTCATTCTTTTAAAAAGATTTATTTATTTATGCGTACAAGAACTGGGTGCATGCCAGAGGTATAGGGGGTGAGAGGATTCTCCAGAGTCAGAGAGGGAGACAGAATAGGCAGATCTACTGAAATACACTGCTGAGGGGAGCAGCAGGTGGGTCAGGAGAGCTCTGCTGTGCCCTGGGGGTCACTCCCTGGCCAGGGATCGAACTCAGGCCTCAGTGGCTGTGGACAGCTTCATAGTGCTGTGCTTTAACCCTTTGCGCCACCAGGGAGGGCCCGAGGGAGAGTTCATTCTGACGACATAGACAGCTCCATGCACTGAAAGAAGAGTCCACAGCCACACATATTGTTACAGGGTAGAAGGGCCCTCCAGACCCCCAAACCTGCCCACTGTAAATGGGTTCTGCCATCTGCCACATGAGGATAAAACATATAAAATCTTAATGGAAAAGAACTTTAATATAATTAGTGACCAGTACAGAAGAGACAAAGAATATAGTTTCTAAATCAAATACCCAAAGCGACCCATCCTCTCATGGGTAAAAGTCCACCCAAAAGGGACTGGCCCAGAGCCAGGCCTGAAAGCCCCCGCAAGACTAAAACACCGTCTGGCCGGGACCCATGGAAAAGAGACAGAAATGGCCAGACAAGTCTGGGAGGCAAAGAGCAAAATCAAAGTCAAGATAAATGCTGCCACAGTCACCTCCCCGCGGGTCTTACCCACGTCTGTTTCAACCAGTCCGGGGCCAAGAAACGAGCTGCTTCTTCACATGTCTCTCTGTTCTCTGTGCCTCCCTCAGGTCTCCTGGCCTCCATCCTGCTCCTTCCTTCTCCAGTCTCCTCCCCAGCTTCTCCTCCCTGGGTGGGGCAGAGAACTGGAATCTCCCCTTTTGTTCAGGACTCCCCTGTTACAACATGGGGAGAAGTCACACCAAGGAAAGGCTGACATGAAGCCAGAAGCACAGCCCAGGTCAAGGCAGACAGACCGTGTGTGGTCCACCTATGTGAGGGCCAGCTCACAGGTTTGATGAGTTTAAACTCAACATAGACACTATCTTGGAGCCCCAGGGGCCTTGATGCCCGTGTTCAGCCTACAGTACTCGTACCGATTGTCAGCTCTTTCTGAGTATTCCCTGACTGACCTGGCCCTGGTCACCCTCTCCCAGGCTTCCAGAGTCCACTATGAAGACTCTTTCTATGCTGTTGACTATCCTCCCATGCACTTTCTTTTCCTCTTAAAGCCCTCTGCAGTCGGCTATCTCTGTGTGCTCATGGCTGATCGAGTGCCTGATATCGAGTAGTTTTGGAACTGAGGGAGCTTCCTTACACACGCTCGCTGGGGTGGCTGGTGGAAATGCCAAGGAGGTATGATGTGTCCGAGACATCGTGAAGAAAGGCCTCTTAATCTTGGGGGGAAGCACAAGAGAAAAGAGACTCTACAGATGTCAGCTTCAGTTGATTGAATTCCACGATTACAAGTGAGAGAGAGCGCGCTGGTTTCTCAACTTTTGGTTTGAATTGACAGGGGGCATTCAGGTAGAAATACTGAGAGGTTAGAAAAGCCAGACGCACAGGCTAGCGTGTACTTGGATCTTTTATCTTTCAGGAAGGAATTCTACATAAGCCTCCGAGAAACTATAACAGGAAAAGAAAGGTGATTATTATATAACTTTCTATAAGTTCTTCTCATATAACTGATCTGACATGTTCAGTGTGTTATTTCATGGCCTCCCAAGTAGGTAAGTAAAATTAAGCTTCATCTATACTACCTGTTTGGGTTTTTTTGTTGTTTTTTTTTTTTCATTCCCATGTGCCTTTCAAATAGCTACTAAGAACAGCCGTGTGTCTAGGCAAGGCCCTCTTTGGATGGGAAACCATTTGAGATACAGATGATGAAGAGTCATCCATGTAAAACTCAGGGATGAATTTTAGTGATTGATGCAAAAGTAGTAAGAGTGTCCAAGCTGGGAAAGCGAGCGTGTTTGTGTACAGAATACAGAAAAATATTGCCTGCATGGTGACAGGGTCATCTTTAGCTCGCAGGTTTGATTTTTATTTCTACCAGTCACATGATTTCCTACCTTGATTTAAATCAGGTAGCACAAAAGTTTGCTCTCCGTCGCCAGACGGCCAGGCAGGGGCACTGGTGCCACATTGTTCCATGTGAGTGGCAAACAAAAGCCAGCTCCTTTTTATTTATTTATTTATTTTATTTTTTAACGAGTTTTTTAAAATATAATAGTTTGTTTACGTCATTTTGTACATTTTTTCCCCATCTCAATTGTAATCCCCGTGGGTTTCCCATCACCGAGTCACCCGTGTGCCATCACCATAGTCCAGTGCACTTCTCTTCCCTCACCCCTGTTTTTTGATCCCATTCCCCACTCCACCCCCGCAAAATGTCTCTGGTATATGGTTGTTCATTATTTTTGTTATTTTCTCGCCTGGTCCATTATACTCCTGCTATGAGTGAAACCACCCGGTATTTTTCTTTCTCTTTCTGGCTTATCTCACTCAGCATGATCTTTTCCAGCTCCATCCAAGTTGCTGCAAAAGACATGTGTTTCTCTTTTTTGGTTGCTCAGTAATATTCCATTGTATATATGTACCACATCTTTCTAATCCAGTCATCTACTTTTGGGCATTTGGGCTGCTTCCATGTTTTTCCAATTGTAAATAAAGCAGCAATAAACATGGGGGTACAAGTATCTTTTTCAATCAGTGTTTTTGTGTCTTTTGTTAGATACCTAGGCGTGGGATAGCTGGGCCATAGGGAAGCTCCATGTTTAGCAGCTTGAGGAACCTCCCGACAGTTTTCCATAGTGGTTGTACTAGTTTGCATTCCCACCAGCAGTGCAGGAGAGTTCCTTTTTCTCCACATCCTCGCCAACATGTGTTGTGACTAGTTGTTTAAAGATGTGCCATTCTCACTGGGGTGAGGTGGTATCTCATTGTGATTTTAATTTGCATCTCCCTCATTACAAGTGATGTTGAACATTTTTTCATATGCTTGTTGGCCATCTGCATTTCCTCTTTGGAGAAGTGTCTTTTTAGCTCTTCTGCCCATTTTTTGATGGGGTTGTTTATTTTTGTTGAGTTTCATCAGTTCTTTGTATATCTTTGCACACACAGCTATTTTTCAAGGGGGAATTATCTCCCCTTCTTGAGGATGGTGCTGTTGAGAAAACTTTTGGGAGATGGACTTACTGTACAGGAGGGTTGCCCTAAAGCATTATTTGCTGGGTGCCCCTCACCTTTGGCACCACCACAGATGTTGTACAGACCTCCCTTCTCTCCGTGAGAGTGATTTCTCCTTTTGTGAGCAAAATTATGGAGAAGACAGACAAGCATGAAAGGAGCAGTGTAGATCAGGACAAGTTGGTAGCTATTCCAAAACTGGTTTTGATCTAAGTCAGTTATTTTACCAAGAAAATGGGTATATTTGAGAAAAACAGATGAGCTGCAATTTGGAAAATACACTATATAATTGCTTATAATGAACCATAAGCAAATCCAGAGACTCAAATCTGGGCACCCTGCTGTTAGTGGGGGATGCAGGGGATGGAGGAGGGTGTGGTAGCTTCTCAGTGAATGGGCACAAGCACTTTTTTTTTTAAAGATTTATTTATGGATGGATGCAAGAACTGGAGTACAGGCCAGAGGTGTGGTGGATGAGAGGATTCACCATAAACAGAGTGGGGACTGCTCAGGCAGACTGAAATACACTGGTGATGGGAGCAGTAGGTGGGTCAGGAGAGGTCTGCGTGCCATGTGGGTCACCTCCCTGGCTGGGGATGGAAATCCTGTTGCAGTGGCTGCAGATAGCTTGATAGTGCTGTGCTTTAACTGTTGTGCCACCAGGGAGGGCCTGCTACAGTACTTTTTATGGGTGAAGGTATTGCTGTGCAGTACCCTTTGGGGTACTCAAGTGACTCCTCCCTGTTTGGAAGTTAAGGGTTTGCTTCTTCCCTTTTGGGGCATGCTAGAATGAAGCCTGCACAACGTCAAGTAGGTTATGCGAGGCCCCTTTACAGGCCTTCCCAACTTCCGTTTCAGTGGATGTTCCTTTACTAATTTCACACTAGACGTGGATGAGCATTTGAGGAAGAAAGGTGTGGGAAGAAATGCAGTTCTTAAACACAGCAGATAGAAACAGGCATTCGAGCCATTCACAGACTTCTCAGCTCAGTCATCGTTGGCCAGTAGCACTTCCCCTGGCAACAGGAATTAGAGGCCCAGCCTCCCCGGCATTCTTTATCTCCTCTAGTGGCCTTTTCATCTCCTGCATTTCTTCTCTTTCCTTTCTTCAATTCCTTGATGGCTTGCCTCATATCATTTTTTTTCCTTCTCATCTTTTTTTTTTGTTTGTTTATGATGAGGATTCTGAATTCTCTATCCGGTAGACTGAGCAGTTCTTCTACTTCTTTGGTGCTTTCTGGTGACTGATCTTTCTGTGGTGAAATTTTCCCTATGGACTTGCTTGGGCATTTGTTTGTCTTCTTTTCCCTGTCGTGTATTTTCTAATACTTTCTATTCGCTGAGACACAGTGTTGCTATTATTGACCAGCATTCTTCTGGCTGTTCTTTCTGGGATGGCAGAGGGGCTTCCAGACACTTCAGTTGTGGAGGGTGTTCTGAGCCTTGTTTTGTTTCAATATCTCCTGTTTTTCCAGCCCCCACTGTGTGGAATTGTGTCTGTCGTCTCTGCCCGTGACAGTCAGGGTTCTCTTGTGGTGTTCAGCTCCTTCCAGTAACACGCCGAGTCCTTGTCTCTGGAAGGTGCCTGTTGCTCTTTGTAACCGTGTGATGTCCTGGGTTCCCTCTATGCTGGGGTGCAGCCGTGGGGTGTGGCGTGTTAGAAGTGTCACAGCTGGGCCTCTGGTCGAGCCAGTCACTGAGCACTGTGGGCCTTGCAAGGCAGTGCCTTACCAGCTCACAAGTCTTCCGGCCACTGTTATCCAGTAACACCTTGAGTCCAAGATTCTGCTGTGGGGGCGAGGGATGCAGGGGTGCATCTGGGAGCGCCAGAAGGGGGCACGCCTCCCAGCTGTGCAGGCTGCCCGTCCTCCCTCAGCGCCTCCAGGGTTCTTTGTGCCCACTCCAAGCCGTCACTCCTGAGCAGTTTTTCCCCACCTCGTGGGTTCCACTCACAGAGCTGGGTTGTCTCTTTAACTCCAGGGCTTTACTGCAGGTTTTGTGGGTAGACCCGTGGCAAGTCTCCCATCTGAAGCACTTCCTAGGGCCTCTCTATGCTAGAATGTGCCGGTGAAGGATTGGGGAGTGTTAAAATTGTTGCAGTTTGCCAGGGTTGGGCCTGTGGTTGAGTGAGTCTATCCACCGGTTTTTTTTTCGGGCCACAGTGGTGTTGGGGGTGGGGAGGGGTGGATGCAGGGTGTGGGGGATTTAGGGAGCACTAGAAAGGCCGCAAGCCTTCCAGCTGTACAGGCTGCCCGTCCTCCCTCAGGGCTGGGGGAGTGTTAAAGGTGTTGTAGCTTCCCAGGGTTGGGCTTGTCTTTTATTCAGTCCAACTGGTTCTTTTTTTCCCCTTTTACCTCTGGGGCTTTGTGAACTTGCTGACCTGGCTTTAGTGACCAATGGTGGAAACAAGCCTCCAGGCCTATGCTGTGGGGGCGGGGCCCGCAGGGGGCTCTGGAAGCAGCTGCCCCAGTTGCCAGTTCCTCTTGTCCACCTCCCGGCTCTGTGTGTCCACCCCGGGCAGTCTTTCCCCCCAGCTTGGGTTCCACTCACCGAGCTGGGTTGTCTCTCTTTATCTCTGAGGCCCAGCCTCTACGTGACCTGATGTGCTGGATGTCTGAATTATCAGTTCTGGGACGTTTCACCCCCAGCCTCACCCAGAGGGAAACGCTTGTTTCCCTTGTCAATGAGTATGTTAACAACTAGCTCGGGGACCGTTGTACAGGTATAAACACTTCCTCAGTCTAGATGACCACGTGTACTGTCAGCTTCCTTCCAACAGTTTCTACCTGGAGTCACAGACACAATATTATTTACAACAAGCTGCTGTTGCCTCTGCCTGTTCATGAGTCTGCAGAGAGACATGTCAAGTCTCCATTGAGGAGGAACAGCCCCCCCAGAGTGAGAGGTCCCAGGTTTATTACCATCCCTGGGGCCGCTGTGCCCCCCAGAAGATCTTGCGCTGATGGAACCTTTGGTCTCTAGAACCTTCATTGTCGCCCTGGGAGCCACAATAGCTTCCTGTTCCTGACGAGGGCCAGTGACAGCTGCATGCTCTAAAATAATCAGTTATACTCCTCTGGAACAACTGTTTATTGTTTGGTAATATTTGCTTAAGAGAGAGGGAATAATCTCTTTCCCTAAGCGAAACAATACTTGTTTATTAAACATATAATCATCAGTCTTTATGTTCTGTGCTTATTCAGAAGAGGCACGAAGCAGGGACTTCCTCAGTGGGCTTATACAGGCCTGAGTCCCTCAGGGTCTTATCCTCAACGGCCATTAAAGAAGATTGAAATAATACCCCTGGCCTTAAGTACTGTTTCAACTTCACTGTGTAACATAGAAGAACTGTTCGTGGGCGGGGGGTCGGGTGGGGTGGGGAAGGGCCTCTGGGACGTGCAGAGAGGTGGGCAGTGACATGGCCACTCCTAGGGTCACTGTCCCATGGGCCACGCTGCTTTATCACCTCTCGGTCCTGACTGAGCGGTCAGCCCAGATGCCTCTATCCTGGTAGGAGAGGCGGCCAGGTGGCCCTCCTGTGTAAGCAAAAGCAAAGTAAGTCTAGTAGGTCTTTTTCAGTTACCTCTGAATAGTCAGCCAGCTGACATCTTGGGATTTGGATGGAAGGGGGATGAGGGCAGCTTTCTGGAAGAATCATAACACTGGGGGCCCGGGATGCAGCTCATCTTTGGGGCTCCACCCCAGGGGAGCCATAGAAGGCCATGGGTTGTTTCCCCTGCATGGATGTCAAAACTCGGGGCTCTGTGCACGGGGTCTGTTACGAGACAGACCCTCACTGCAGCCCCTCTGGTGGGATGTGACCCTCTGGTGGAGAGAAAATGCCCAAATGCCTCCCGAGGACATTTTCTCCAATTCTCTCTGTTGAGAAGACTCCTGCGTATCTCGGGTCTGAAAGCCAGAGAAGGAATCACACTGGCCACGCGGTGCTACCTGGGCTTTGAATTCTCCTGGTCGATACATAGGCCATAAAGAGCGGAAATACTGAGTGGACCGTGACTTGAGTCTTTTAACAAACATCACTTTAGTAAGTGGTTAATTCAAGCTCCCATTCAATATTGTCACTCAATCTTTCTCTCTTTTCAGTGGAAAACACAGAGTTCGGATGATCATCCCCCAGCTGACCCCTGCGTAAGTACGAACCCCCACCCGGAACCCCAGGACCGCCCAGCCTTTCCCCTCGCTGTCTTTGACGCGCCCCCTGGCTCCCTCAGTACATTCGCAGAGATGAGCAGGGGACGGCAGACACGTCCCCTCGCCAGGTGGATGGTTCAGGGTGTCGCTGTGAAAGCGCCTTTCCGTGTGTCCAGTGGAGACCCCCCTTTTCCTCACCTCCCCCGGACACGGGTGCATGGGGAGAGTTGTAGACCAGGGTGGTCCCTAGAGTGGAGGCTGCTGTGCCAGCGGCCACCGGAGCTGAGGAGGTCAGGGGGACACGCGGCCGGAGCAGGCCGCGCTTTAAGGGAGGCGGCAGGAAAGGGACCGCAGGCATCGCCCCCAGGTGCCGGCGAGGGTGATGGCGTCGCACGTCAGCCAGCGGACAGCCACGGGTCAAGCCGGCGCGTCTGGGGCGGGCCCTGTCTGTCGCGATCCTGCAGAGACACGTGTGCCGGCCAGCGGGGCTTTGCAGAACCCGTGTCCAGTCGCCAGGGCCTTCAGGGGCTGGAACCCCCACCGAGGCAACCCCAGGGCATTGTACGCGGCTGCCTGGCACCGGGGGGCCGTCTGGTCCTCGGGCCGTCCTCTTCCCGCCCCACGTGCCGCCAAACCAGGGATGTCCCTCTCCTAGGCTGCGTCACACTTTGCATCCTCTCCCTGCAACAAGGGGAATATTAGTCACTTTTTGCACAACTCCAGGAGACGTCTCTCCCCATGGGGCGCCCTGCGGGGGCTGCCCCAAACTTCCAACACAGGCGAGATCTCCAGGAGTCCCGGACTTCAGGGGTCCCTTGAGGCCTGGAAACACTTTGATCTCCAGGGTCTATGGATCTTTTTATTTTTCTATTTTTAATCTTTTAAAGATTTATTTACTTATGAATAAAGAACTGGGGGTACAGTTGATGCCTAAAATTAGTGACAGCATTCATGGAATTAGCTGTCCTTTAGCTTGAAAGGCTGTCCTGGTGCTGGTCTGGCTGCTCAGAGCCGTTTTGCAAGATAATTGCTTGAGAAGTTTTTGTTTTTTGTTTTTTTTTCAGTAGTTTCTTCTTCTTCTTTTTTTTAAGATCCACCCCTCCATTTTGCATACAGGAACTGGGGTACAGGTCAGAGGTGCAGGAGGGTGAGAGGATTCACCAGGGACAGAGTGGGGAGCAGAACAGGCAGATCGACAAAATCCACTGCTGAGGGGAGCAGCGGGAGGGCCAGGAGGGGTCTGCCGCCATGTGGGTCACTCCCTGGCAGGGCTCGAACTCATGCCGCAATGTCTGGCGAGAGCATGATAGCACTGAGCCTTTAACCCCTGCGCCACCAGGGAGGCCCGTGTATAACTCTTTGGATGAGGAAGGTGCACGTGGAGAGCTATTTCTCACACGGTCCTGTCCTCCATGAAGGTAACAAGAGAGCTGTGCCAGCCAGGACATGGGGAGCCCGCCGTTGCTCGGCCTCGGATCCCCACCTGACCGGATGGCCGCACTGGGCAGTCCTCCCTCCCCCTCCCCACCCCCAGCTCTGTGCTGCTGCTCTGAGGGGCCACCTGCGCATCCAGATTTTCTAGTGCTCCTTGGGGTGTTTTAACGCAGGGCCTGAGCTCGGGGCCACTGCAGACTGGCGCTTCTAAAAATGAGACTTGGCGCTACGTAGACACGAACACGAACCAAAGTTCAACTGCGCTAAAGGAGATTAGATCTGCTGCGAGGCTTAAGATGGAGACTGAGATTCTGCAATCGCGTATCCATTGGTATCAGTCAAGTATCGGCCGGGTGTGTGTGCCCCACACAACCGTTGTAGAGGACAAACACTCGCTCCTGCAGGGGCGCAGAAAGCCTTCACCTCGGCGCTTGAGCAAGCTCCTGGCCGTGCAGAGATGCGCCGCCACACCTTACATGCCAAGGTGTCGGGGCACCGCCCCCCGCTGCCAGGGCCACAGTGCTACCCTCCCTGATGCCTGCCCGCCCCTCCGGCCCTGATCTTCCTGACCCAGGGCATACACAGCCCTCCAGACACAATTCCATAACCCCGGGGTCCTCCCCAGCTCTTCAGCTTGGGAGGTTTATGCTCAAGAAAATGGGCCACAGGAACATCTCAGAATAGTATCTTGTCTTTTCAGAATTCTCAGCGAATCACACTTCAGTGTGTTCATTATCTCATGCAGAGAAGAGAATTAAATAAGACACCAGATTCCAAGTCCAGTTTGGTCAGTAGGATAATCCATTTCTCAAATCATCTTTAATTCATGTCCCACATCAAATCTGTCTTCATAGAGAAAACCTCGGTCAAACTCTGCCCAAACCTGAAATCTCTGCTCAGTGTCGCTCCTTAACATTCTACGGGGAATCTCACTGGCACGGGCGCCCGGGCGCTTGGCTACAAGCCAGGCCGTGTGCCTGGAGTCGCAGCCCGTCGGCGCGGCTCACTGATCCTGCCGTGTCTACTTTATCTCCCCTTCTAGCCTGAAAACTCAGACATATGTGAGGTGTGCCATGGGCCCGGAGACCTCTTCTGCTGTGACACCTGCCCAAAGTCCTTTCACAGGAGGTGCCACATCCAGCAAATAGACCCAAACAGGTTGGTGAGACTCTTAGCTGCTTCTTGTGGTACAACGCTCCCACCCTCACGCTCCGCCGCACAAGTGTCGGCCTCCGTCCTGTGTCGCGTGTGGACAGAGCAGGGAGCTTAAGCAGCAGGATCCGGAAACAGGTCCAGGACTGTTCCTCGGGGTGGCAGGAGCAGTGTCATGCCGCGAAATCTCTACCAGTAATGCCAGGTGCAGTAGAAAGAGACGTCACAGCTCCCGGCGTGGGTCCTGACCCACGTGCTTCGGTAGAGGCAGCTGCAAGTGTAGCATGTGGGACCCGCTGGACGTCGCAGACTTGGGGAGCTGGGGCAGTGGCCAGCCTTCCGAAGGCGTCCCGCAGCCCGCGGGGGCCATGAGAGGCCCTGAATTCTGAGGGGTGGGCCCGCGGCTGCATTTCCTCTGCTGTGCCCTCGGGCAGAGGTGTAGGCACGCAGACAGCGTGGAGGTTGACAAGGCGTGCTATCGGCTGGGGAGCGCAGACGGTGAGCTCATCAGCACTGTGCCCCCAGGAGGACAGAGCACCCCCTCCATGATGGGGAGAGCAAGTGTCCTCGGCCCGCTCCCAGCACTCCCCAGGGAACGAGGCCATCTCAGGGCTCGGCCATCTGCACCCCCTACAGGTAAGAAATCTGCAGAGGCCGGAGATGGACCCCTTTTTTGCCTTGAGCCTTAGGCAGTCTTCACCCCATCGCCATGGACACTTTATCATGGACCCCGCGAGCTGGCACCATGGTGGCCAAGGCAACCGGCTAATTGACATCTGCAAGGTGGATCATCATCCGCCGTGTCTAGAGCCCCCGCTCAGGGCCTAGGAGGGGCCGAGTCTAGGGGCAGCGGGAGAAATCGGCAGTGGTGCACATCTTCCCAGGACGGGTCTGCAGCTCAGATTCTAGGCGAAATTCAGTAATGGCAGAGAGAAGGAAGCCTGTCACGTGCACCAGGCTGCCCTCAGTGCCGGGAAACAAGGGTCGGTTTCCTGGTTTTTGCTACAGTCTCATGGCTCAGAAGACCCAGAACTCCAGCACTTAAGGCCCTAATTTCTATCCCTCCCTCGGGCGCATTATCAGGTTCACAGGGGTGCTGATGAGCCCTGAGTCCTGGGATCAGAGAGCGCTCAGACCCCCTGCGGCCCCTCAACAGCCTGTCGGTCCTGCCACACGATCAGCGTGGGGGGCGCGGGGTCGGTGGCAACTGCGCCCCAGCGGCCTTTCATTCAGAGGCTCCGAGGGGGCGTAGGGGGCAGGACAACCTCGGCCATTTTGAACAGAAGCCACAGCACTGTGGGAGCAGCAGGCCCCCGAGCCCAGCCTCGCTCACGTCTGCCCTGACTTCCCAGGGACCCGTGGAGTTGCATCTTCTGCCAGATGACGGCGATGCAGAACAGTGCCCCAGAGTGTGAACAATGTCATGAGGAATCCGAGGTCCTGAAGAGGCCAATGGAGGGTGTGGACAAGCTGGTGAGTCTGGCTGTGACCCTGGAGCCGCCTCCTTGCTGTTTGCACGAGGCGAGATGCCCAGGGGCGGGCGGGGAGGGTGCCCGAGGCTGACCCCTGGCTCCGCGTGCTGGGTCACAGGCCCAGAGACGCTCACGCACCTCAGACTCACACTCAGCACCAGGCCTGGGGACTGTGCGCGCTGGCTGGGCGCTGGGAGCTCCTTCTCTCCCGGCAGTTTGTCACCTAAAACCTCCTCTCTCTTTTGCAGAAATGTCAGTTCCTCCTCGTGAAGGTCTTTGCCTGTTCAAAAAGCTTGGTTTTTACCCCAACCCCCTTCTATGTAAGTAACAGCATCCAAGCATGGACTTGGTATCTCGCAGGTTTGTGGCGACTTCACAGAGTGCAAATCGCCATTGGCCTCGGCCTGGGTGGCCGAGGCAGCTGAGGCAGCCGTCACGGCGAGGTACCACAGATGGGGGCGGGGGGGGGGCAACACCCACAGGTATTTCTCACTGCTGGGGACAGAAGGCACCAGCTGGCATGCCCTGGAGTCAGGGGAGCCTCGCGAGGTTACAGACTGTGCACATTTTACTCCTCCCAGGGTGGAAAGAGAGGGAGCACGCTGGGTGCCTTCTGTAAGGGCGCTAATTCCAGTCCTGAGCACCCCACCCTCGTGACCTAATGATCTCCCACCTCCTAAGACCACCACAGGGCAGGGCTTTCACGTGTGAGTGGGGGGCAGCGACACACTCAGTCCACAGGAGTGGGGGGCGGGGAAGGCTCCCTGAAACCTGCCATTGTCCTCCCTTGGCTCTTTTCTCAACAGAGTAAAGAGTCAACTCAAGACAACAGAAAGTTCATGTGGTTGGCCAGAATCAAGAAAAGGCTTTGCAAAAATGTGTACTCGCATGTGGAGACATTTGTGCAGGACATGCGCCTCATCTTCCAGAACCACAGGGTGAGCAGTGCTCTGCTTCCATTTTCCTTTCAGTTTGCCCGTCATCTTCTTATACCAGGGAAATGTCACAACTCCGTCAGCCCGGGGCAGACCCACCCAAGTAACCATTCTGGGGGTTTCTAAAAGCCCCACCCTCTGGGGAGGAGGGAACAGCAGAGGCCACGCCTCTACGTGGACATGGCAGGCACAGCCTCAGCAGGGACTCACCTGCAGACAGGGACTCACCTGCAGACAGGAGCTGAGAGCAGCCCGCCCACGGGAAAGCGGGGAGCGTGTCCAGGGCAACGGTACCTCCCGTCCTCCAGCACGTTCTGAAGATTTCAAATTCATTTTCTAAAATTGAGGTGGAAATAGCACCTTGAGAAAAACTTTATAGTAAATGCACTTCCCAGTTTTAGAAAGTAAACCAAAAAACAAGTAGTTAGTGTTTTGTTTCAGTGGGATTTCTCAAATTCCCACATCCTGGATATCTTTACATCTGAGTTTCCTAGTGCTGTATCAGTAAGTCAATGTGGATTATCACCTCAAGGGGGGGAAAGGAAATAGGAAGACAGCCGTGAATCTGCTCTGGCCATTTCTGCGTTACTATGTTGTTACAAGAAACATGTGCTGGGTCAAAAAGTGAAATAGATGGAAGCTTTAAGAGGACGCCAATCACTGGATTTCTGTGGACAGTTATGCCTGTCCAGAGAAATGATGGAGCTGCAGGGAACTTGGTTACTGTTACTGTGGCGAAAGTGGGGTTACCCAAACCAGGGAGCCCAGCTCTGTGCCATCTCTGTGACCACTTCTGTCCCTGCTTGAAATTTTCAGGGAAAGGATTTCCTCACTCTGGAGAACAACTTTGAAGACTATTTCCAGAACATTTTTGCCATCAGGAAATAGGCGGGAAGCATTTGGAGCCCAGTTTTTTCAGCACAACCCACCCCAGAACCTCCAGCAGCCACACCCGACCTGCCGGCCCCTCCACCCTCTGCCTGTGTCTGCACAAACTCTGGGTGGCTCTTCATCAGCTGTTCTATTCATACATGTGCATACAAATAAAATATTCATCCAAATAAATTTTTGAAGGTCTTCTCAGTGCTCTTAAGGAATAACTTGGAGTGAAACCTAATAGGAAACAAAGAATCTTTCTAGGAAGAACCATATCTTGGGTTTCTGGTTATTTGACTGTTTTGTTTGGTTCTGAAGGAAACTGTCTCTTCTTTCCTCCTCCGCTTCTAGGACATGCTCATTTCTTTTTTACTCTCAGGTAGTTGCTAATTTTTTTGTTATTTGAAGTGATCTTTTTCTCACTGTATTTGACTGCTGAGGCCAGCTGGCAAAGCGTCACCCCGTCTCACCCCTCAGTACTGGCTGTAACCTTTGCGCCGAGCTGCTTCATGAGGCCCAGGCGTGCGCTCAGCATCTTCAGTGTTCAGTTCAGCGCAGCCTGTGACAGCATTTCCCGCGGGCGCACTCAGACCTCTGACAATTCTCGCTCTGGGGGGAACATCCTGCATCCTGGAGACCCCAAATGTCCAAGACACCACACAGGCAAGACTAAAGAGCAGCTGATGTGATCTAAGTCTTGGCAGGGGCCCTGGGATCCTTCTAGAATGCAGGGCCATGGAGCCAGAATTGCTGCTCAAGGCCCTGGTCACTCCACACACCTCCTTGGCTTCCAGCAGCCTCTCGCGGGTCAGTTCTGATGAGGTCTGAGGTTTTTTGGCTGTGTTAAGGTGGAGCCCAGGCATGGCCGTAGCCCAATTGGGAAACTTCTGCTGTAAACACTGTGGCAAGGTTTCCTGACACTGGATTTGGTAGTGATTTCAAGACATGACATCAAAAACACAAGCAACAAAAGGAAAAGTACTTAAGAAACTTTGTGCATCAAAATATAAAGAAAGTGAGTAAGGATAGGGAGAAGATAGTTGCACGTCATACATTTGATAAGGGGATCCATATTCTGTCAGGTAAAGAACTTCTGAAGCTCAACAACAAAAAAGGCTCAAGTCAAAAATGGGCCGAGGGCCAGGCAAATGACCACAAGCATGGAAAGATGGCCAACATTGTTAGTCATTATGGAAATGGACATCAAAAACTCAAGATGCCGCTTCATCCCTACTGTAGGCTTAGGGGACAGGAGAGAGAGGCAGACAGAGATTGGGGCTGGCGGACTGCTGAGGATGTACAGGTCGGAATCATCCTGCGTTATTGGGTAAATATAAAGTGAGGCAACCATTGTGGGAAACATCTCGGCAGCTCCTCAGAAAGCTAAATCTACAACTACCACATGAACTAGCAATTTCACTTCTAGGTCTCAACCCAAAGAAAGCAGGGATTTAACGGATATTTGTACATCAGTGTTTTATGGGCATTATTCACAACTACTCAAGAAGTGGAAACAAGCCAAGCTTCCATCAATAGGTGACTAAATAAAATGTGTGTATACATACAGAGGAACATTATGCAGCCATAAAAAGGAACAAAGATTTTAATATCTGCCACTGTGTGATTGGGCCTTAAAAAACATTCTGCTAAGGGGCCTCCCTGGCTGCACAGGAACCAGTCTCAGCACTTTGAAGTTGTCACCAGCCACTGTGACATCAGTTTGATCCCCGGCCAGAGAGGTGACCCCCAGGGCACAGCAGTCCTCTCTTGTCTCCTTGCTGTTCCCCTCAGCAGTGGATCTCAGTCCATCTGCCTATTCTGCTCCCCACTCTGTCTCTGCGTAATCTTCTCAACCCACCCCCCACCACCTCTGGCCTATACCCCCTTTCTTGTCCGCATAAATAAATAAAAATAAGTCCTTAAAAATAAATCCTGCTAGGCCCTCCCTGGTGGTGCAGCGGGTTAAAGCACAGCACTGAGAATCTAAAGCCGCTTCCTCTTGAGTTCGATCCCCGCCTGCCCCGGAGGTGATCCACATGGTGCGGCAGACCTCTCCTGACCCGCCCGCTGCTCCCCTCAGCAGTGTACTTCGTTGATCTGCCTGTTCTGTTCCCCGCTCTGTCTCTGGTGAAGCCTCTCGCTGCCCCTGAGCCTTTGGCCTGTACCCCAGCTCTGTATGCACAAATAAAATAAAATCTTTAAAAAAAAAAAATAAATAAATAAATCCTGCTAAGTGAAATAAGCCAGACAAGGGACAGACATGATTCTGCTTCCATGAAGTGCCTGCAACAGGCAAATTCACAGAAACCGACAATCAGAAAATAAACTGTGGATAACCAGGGGCCAAAGGGAAAGGCAGTGGGGAGTTACTGTTTAATGGCACAGACAGAGCTCGTGTTGGGAGACAAAGACGTTTTGGAAATAGATGGCGGTGATGGTCGCACAGCCTCGTGTCCTCAACGCCACTGAACCGTGCGCTTGCAGACGGTTAAAATGCCGTCGGTACAGATTTCGCTGCAATTTAAAATGGTCACGGAAAGGGCTTCATATGACTGGTGGTGGCGCTCTCTGCAGAACCAGGACACAGGAACGGAGCCTCCCTGGGAGGAGAAAAGCAAAGGCGAGGGGCCGGTCCTCAGCTTCGGGAAAGGGATGCGGCTTGCGGCCAGCTAACTCCAGTCGAGCACGGTGCAGAGTGGCTGCTGATTTGTGTGACTTCCTACTACTGTGCACACTAACAAATTTATTCCATCCTGTTTAATTTTCAGTCTATCGCCCTTCCATGAGTCAGTTTAATTTTGGTGATACGGACACATAAACTTAGTTCCTTCTTGCAGGATCTGGTTTGATCTGCAAGGTTCATGCAATTACTCAGATCCCTAGGAACTGTCTCGTCGCTAGCCTTCCTGGGATGGGACCTCTGGTTGCATGGGGCAGCTTTCCTCTCTGAAGCTCCAGGCCTGACACAGGTCCTCCGGCCAGAATTCACCCAGCCACAATTCACCACCAACCAGGATGCCCTCTCCTGAAATCTCCCTCCCTGCCCCATCCCGGGGTCCTGGCTGCCCCCCTGGGGGGCGGCCCCTGCAGCTGCCGGCTGTGAGCTGTGCTCTTACTGGCCTTGGGCACTGTTTTCTCTTCCACTCAGGCATGTGCCCGGAGCACAGGTGTGGGGGGGAGGGGTGCCGTGCTGTGACACCTGTCCCAGGTGCTTTCACAAAAACTGCCACATCCCACCTGTGGAAATCGAGCAGTTTGT